TTCCTGCCCACCAGATGGATACTCAGCGGAGAGGTTAAAATGAGTAAAAACAGGTTAGAAACATGATTTGAAAAGGTAGATTACAAAGGCAGATTTGCTGATTTCATGTGTGCATAGGTTCCGGTGTCCTTTATTTTTTCTGAAACAGCTCACTCTTTGATTCTTGATCCCGTACTGGGAATTGCACCTAATGCTTTGCGTCTCGAGAAAGTAAATCACCCTGATCTTAGGGAACTGACCAGGAAATGTACAGATTCTGGAGGAGCGATGCTTGCATCATGCTTCAGAAGGTGCAAAACAGCAGCCTTTTTCAAGACGATGGGATCCAGTGGAGATGTAAAATTATTTATGTATTAATTCATATTTCCATTTTTGAATTTTTGAGTTCATCTTGAAAGCTTCCCAGTTAAGTTGGAACTTAGAGTGAGCCGAATAAGGAGCCAAGAAAAATCAGCTGGAGGAAATAAAAGCAGAAAACAGCTTGGAGGTGATCTCCCCGGATTTGTCTCTGAGCTGGCATGCCCGGGTTTTGGCAGCGGCCAGGAGTGGCCTTGGCACAGTTAAAACTAGTGTGCCAGCTGCACCAGTCTCTTAATAGATATTTAATCTGGCCACGGTAACACATGCCCTAGTGTGGTTGGTTTTTTTGACACTGCTGCCAAGCTGTGGGACTCCCTGCCACAGGACGTTTGGTTGACCGTTTCTCTTCAGGCTGGCTTTTTCTCAGTAACTGACGGCCTAAGGAGAAGCTCCTTTTCTACCCTTCCAATGTTTATATCATTTGTTTTAGTATTGCCGGCACTTTGGGTCTGCTTGAGGAAAAGGTGGGGTACATACAGAGTTGATGACCCAGCTCAGAATGGTACATTTTGAAAGGAACTTGTAATATGCATTATTTCTTAGTAACCAAGTTGCTCTTATCTTTATCAGTTGCACAAGAAGTTCATTGCATTCTCCTTATCACTGGCCAAGAAAATCCAGAAATACTCTCTGGTTCCCCCTAGTGCCTGATTCTGACATTGCTCTTTAGAAATATTTATCAAAATACAAAAGCTTGGTAAGATAATGCCATAAATCTTGAAAATGTCTTGTTGAAATATCTCTAAAATAAATTAATTTTTGGAACTAACATAGGAAAAGGAATATTGAAATGTAATGAAACATGGAACTTATTTTTGACATATGTGTTTTAGAAAGGGAAAGGGATTACACCTGAAGAAGACTCAATACAGTATGCTTTTGGAGAGAAACGGGGCAGTGAGAAATATAAAGAAAAATAAAATGAAAACTAGTCCTGAGGGTGGTGGGGTTACACAGCATTGATAATGGTGGATTTGTTTATTTTAGGTTGATTTATTGATGGTATTTTGCATACTTATTATTGTTTTATTGTTTGACTGTTGATTAAAATATATTAAAAATGAAACATTTCTAAAATAGCTTTAAAATGCTCTGTAACGTAACTCTGGGTTACCACCGTTACAATACATCTTACTGATTATACCTAGAAACTACTACCGTGTTTCCCCGAAAATAAGGCAGGGTCTTATATTAATTTTTGCTCCAAAAATGTATTAGGGCTTATTTTTAGGGGATGGTTTATTTTCTTCATGTACAACCACCTGTTTCAATACAATCATGTCATCTTCTTCTGGTTGTTGCTGCCCAAGGGTGGAGGGTGGGGGTTTCACTCAACTGGGGCTTATTTTTTGGGGGGGGTAGGGCTTATATGACAAGCATCCTGAAAAATCATACTAGGGCTTATTTTCAGGTTAGGTCTTGTTTTCGGGGGAACAGGCTAGCTCCGTTACCCATTACTCCAATAAATCAGTTAATGTAATCTATTACAGTACTTGTAACTTTTTACTTCTAAGTTCTGGTTGAGGCCAAGACAGCAGAGAAGGGAGGAAAAACGTACAGAGCAATGCATAGCTTTTCAGCACTTAGGTCCTCCCCCCCCCACCTCCAAAAACGTTATGTTTGTTTATTTGGAGTGACTCTCGAACTTTGAAAAGGACAGTGAGGACAGCCGGATGGGTCACATTTCTTTTTTTTTCCCAAGGAGCTCAGCTTCCTGGCGGAGTTGCCTGCTTGTGTGGGGGAGATCAACCCATAATCGAGTTACCCTGCTCTTACTAGACATTGACAATGTCCTTGTAAATGACTGGAAAATTCAGAAGGCGATACAATAATCTCGTTTGGTGGGGGTTGGCTGGCTGGCAGCTCGCCACTAATTCGGCTAATGCCGGGCGTCTGTCTTTGCTCCGGCTTCTCCTTTATGACAAGACGGCTGTTTTGCTCTGCGTCGTCGGTACCTTGCGAGGAGTGCCCGACTCTCCTCCCCTTGGCATCTCCTTTTCCTGACCGTGCTTCTCCTTGGTCGGAGCACGCTCTTCCCAGAGTGAAGGGGAGCCCACCCTGTGAGCCGTAGGCCCAGAGGTTGAGCGGAGAGGACAAGGGTCCCCATCCGAAATCAGGCACAGCCAGCCTGGGAGGCTTAAATGCTTAGGAATCACCCTTAGGATGCTGAACGTGCTCTGAGTTTCCCTTGGAGGCTCTGACCCGACATACAGCCAGAAGCTCGGGATTCTGTTTCAAAGATTTGGATTCGAATTCGGGACTCAGTCCCGCTACCCTCCCAACCTCCCGGATAAACAGGGTCATTCGAAAGTGTCGTCGGACTTATAGAAATATCCTTTCCTCTACGCGCAAGGATTGGGTGGTGTCAGAATAGGAAACCACCTCCAAGCAAGCAACCTTCTTTTGTCTGCCCCCCCCTTCTCTGGCTCCCCTGCCTTCACACACTTTCCTTTCTGCAGAGAGCAAGGGCGTTTTTCATTTTAAAAAGAAAGAAAAAAAAGATTTGCTTTCCCTCCACTTCCCCCTCCGCCTCTGTGAGGAGAAGCACAAAGCGGGATTTTATTTTTATTTCTTGGTCAACGACTTATCCCTTCACTGGGTTGCCCTCCTTCAGCCAGCCGCTAAAGAGCGCTTCCCTGGGAGGGGGGGGACCTGCTTTGTGGGGGTCTAAATGGGACATCTCAAATCCAGCCTTTGCCCGCTGTTTGGAGCAGGTGGGGAGGAGAGTCAGAGGAAAACGCGTTGCGAGTTTGGTGTTTCTTAACTCATGCCGGGGCCCTTCTACACCCCCTCCTTGGAAGTCCAGAGTTGTGCAAACCACAAAACAGTTTGTTCCGTCGGAAGTGTGTGAAAAGTCGTGGTTCGTGGTTTGCGAATAGCGACGAACCATCATGAACGGCTGTTTCCCCGGATCGTGCCCATCCCTAGCCGGGAGTGATCGCCTTTCCAATGACCTTCTGTCCACTAGGAAATTGCTTCCACCCAGTTCCACGAAGTAGTAGCCCCACTGATGGACCAGAAAAGGCCCACTTTGGGTGTGGGATGGAGTCGGGAGGAAGCGCTCCTGCCCGCGCGTCGTGTGATCGCCAGGAAATAGCTCACACTGGGCTGTGCCACCAGAGCGCCAAAATGTGAGCTATGGGCCTGTGTGATCACGCCACAACTTTATGGACCCCCAAACCCAGAAAAGCACCGGTTGGCTCAATTTGAAGTCCTGCCTTCTATGTTTTATCCCAAGGATTCCATGCCATGAGTTTGCCAAAATGTGAGCTATAGGCCTGTGTGATCACGCCCCAACTTTATGGACCCTCCCAAACTCAGAAAAGCACCAGCTGGCTCAATTTGAAGTCCTACCTTCTGTGTTTTTATCCCAAGGATTCCATGCCATGAGTTCTTGAGAAAGAAGTTGGAAACTGTTGAACCCGTTTGATTATATTCTTCCTTTTATCAGGCTATTCAATGGATTATGACTACAGTCGTGCCCCGCTTAACGATTACCCCATATAACACCGAATCCGCTTCACGACGATGTTTTAATGGGTTTTTTTGTTTTGCAACGATTGGTTCCCTGCTTCTGGAACCGATTCTTTTTGCAACTCAAAACTATGGTTTAAATGGGTTTTTTTCGCTGTGTGATGATTGGGTCCCTGCTTCCGGAACCAATTCTTCGCATTACGATGCTCAAAACAGCTGATCATTGGGTTTTCAAAATGGCTCCACGCTGTTTTTAGGAGGCATTTTTCGCATAACAGGCACCTGAAAATGGCCGCCGTATGGAGGATCTTCGCTGGACGAGCAGGTATTCAGCCCATTGGAATGCATTGAACGGTTTTCAATGCATTTCAATGGGCTTTTTTTATTTCGCTTGACAACGTTTTCACTCTACAGTGATTTCGCTGGAACAAATTAACATCGTCAAGCGAGGCACCACTGTACTCTTATGCTTGGAATAAAAACTGTATACATTGGATGAGTTTTAACGTTTTAACTGCTGGATCGCTTTGTGGCGTAAGTGTCCGGCTGCAGAGCCAAAAGTTGGGAGTTCGAATCACCCACGGTGTGCCTTTGACAGGGCCTGGACTGGATGATCTCACAGAGTCTCTTCCAGCTCTGCAGCCCTCTAATCATTTCACCCCCATCATCCCAGCTTCCTTACTACCATAATACCTGGATTACTGATAAAATGAGCAGATTCTTTGACAGGGCTTGGACTGGATGATCTCACAGAGTCCCTTCCAGCTCTGCAGACCTCTAATCATTTCAGCCCCATCATCTTGGCTTCCCTACAACCATGATACCTGGATTACTGATAAAATGAGCAGATTTCCAGCAGCTGCTACTGCTTCTTGAAGTTCTTTGCTAAAATCTTATAACATGCTAGACTTTATAGTCTCACAATACCGTTATTTGAAACACATTGCATTTCTGTGCTGGTCTTTGACTGCCATGGATTTTCACTGGCTCACCTTTTTATTTCAGCCAAGAACTAACAATAAACACGACACCTGTATCTTCTGTTTCTGTGTGTTTGCTTTTAGTCTGCATTAAACAAAATCACAGTTCAAATGAAAATAGGATCTTTTGTCCGTAACATTCTGCTGTAGCATATTGATGGACATTTTTTTTCTTATTTCTTCCAGTCTGCAGAGTTCTTTGAAATGCTGGAAAAAATGCAAGTAAGTGTTACAGCCACACCTTGCGCATGATCGGTTCCGGACTAGATGTAGCCACCAGTTCTAAGGCCGATGCGCTTTTTGGAAATGGGGGAAAAGGAGCAAAACTAGACCCTTAAATTTGTGGGTTGGGGGAACCTTGAAAGGGTTCTGGAGAAGTATTTATACCTTTTCTGGTGGGAGGGCTACTGGGTGGGGCCCTAAGGCCAGACTCCAGCTGCGTTTTATCACATGCCAAAGCAAACGGGCAGAAGGCAAGGGGGCTAATCCTCAGGAGGCAGCAACGGGACCGTACATGAGAGCAGCACCTTCTCCAACAGCTATGACAGCTTCCGCCAGATAGCTCGGGGGTTTAAGGCATCTGGCTGCAGATCCAGAGCTGGGAGCTCAATTCCCCCACTGGGCTTGCTTGGCAGGGGCTGGACTGGATGACCCCACAGGGTCCCTTCCAGCTCTGCCATTCTAAGATGATGATGATGATCCTTAATGAACACTGGATAGCTCGGTGGTTGAGGTCAACGGCTGCAGAGCCTGAGACCTCCAGGATGCGATGCCACCAACCCGGCACCCCTAACTTCACGCACTTCACAGAAATCCAGCATTGTCTTCTCTTGGGTACCACACATCCTTAGATTAATCTCCCTGCCTTAGAGACATTGGGAAACACAAGAATTCCCTGAAATTTTGGCTGGTGCCTGGACGGATGAATAACAGGCCTGGGAAGGCACAGATGTTGTGTCCCCTTGGAGCTGATGTGCCCTACTAGTGCCGTCTGGTGTCGTTGTTTTGAATCTGAGGGTCTCTCCCCCCACCCCCATTATTTTTTGCAAGTAAGAGTTGCAATATGATCATCGCAACTTTTCCATTGAGCAGCGACTTGTACAGCTTGCACCAAAAACTAGAATAAGAAGAGCAACGGGCAGTGTGGTTCTTGGTCCTGTTGTTATGATTCTGTTGTGAGTCTCCGGGTGTGATCACAGGGGCACAGCGCTCACAATTCGGATCGCTTGTGGCACTGTCTGGGGTGAGCAATTTCCTGGCCATCCCACGGCATTATGGGGTATAGAGTTTCAACCCAGTTCTGGATCCTTTCTGGTCCAGCAGGGAGGTTGATACTTTTAGGGGCCTGACCGGAGGGACAGAAGCAAAATGACCCTTTCTGCCAGGTGACTGCACCCTTATTCGATTTGGATGCCATCTTGGAAGGGTTAATCCTTAATGGGAACTTAGGGATCTCTTAACTAATGAAGAGTGCAGTCAGACGATGGCAAAGGTTGTGTCTGATCGCGCCAGAAAGGGTTGCTTTGCTGGTAGTGATCTCGTTGAAAAGCAGCCCTTCCATCCATGCAAGAATCGCTCCAGAATTGCCCCCATCTCAGAAAAGAGTAGCCTCACTGCTAGGACAAGCAGGTCGAAGCTTGCACGTGGATCATGGCCAGTTTGCTTTGCAATCTCCTGCATGTCATGTGATTGCTGGGAAATAGCTTAAAAATGACCATGACACCAGGGGTCCAGAGGAAGGGCAGGATCTGCTCTCAATCCTCCCCAGAGTTCAGGACACATCATAACGGGGTCAAGTGAGAGGAAGCTAGATTTGGGCTAAAGACCAGGAAAAACCTCCTGTTAGAGCAGTACAGCAGTAGAACCCGTTACCTCAGGAGGTGGTGAGCGCTCCAACACTGGAGGACTTCAAGAGAAAATGGGACCGCCTTCTCTCTGATCTCCTTCAATTTGGATTCCTGCCTGAAGCAGGGGGTTGGACTCTAGACCCCTTCCAACTCCATGATTCCAGGATTTCATGAAAATGGGAGCTATTCACCTGTCGGATCACATTGCACGTGGACAAAACTCCAGATGGGAAGGGGGGGGGATAAGTACACATTCTGAGCAAACGGAACCTGTGACGGATGGACCCATATGATGCTCCAGAGGTTCCCCCCCCCGTGGGGCTGTTCCAGGAGGAACGCCGCGAGACTCCGGCCTTCCCTGCCTCTTCTGCTCCCTCCCTTCAAGGTGAGCCGTGCGGAAAGGGGCCGTGGAGGCACCTTCTTCCCATCCTCATTTCTGAGAGGGATTTGTCAGAAATCCCCGTTCGGATCCTCTGCTGGGCATGTCTGGAAAACTAACGGACGGTTCTTCTCTTCCAAAACAGGTGCCTAAATCAGAGGAACAGAGAAGCGGAAGCCAGAAAAATAAGGTGTGTTTGAGGCACGTCTTCACGGATGTCGTCTAGATTTCAGAAGGAAGGAGCTTTGGTTCATTCGTGTGCCTGCTCGGTTCTGCTCCCAGACCTTTTTTAATTTCCTGTTTTATTTTAATTTTAATTGGTTCTGTTTTCTTTTCTTTTTTTGTCCTTTGGCTGTGTGGTTTTGTGAACGTGTGGGGTTCCTGCCAGCAAGCAACACCTAACTTTTGCGATGGTTGCTACGTACGTTTCTGGGCCTGGTGTTGCTCTCTCCATCATATGCAACATCTGACCGTTGCACGGCCAGCGTCTGACGGTTGAATGTTTCACCGTGAATGTCCCCCGACTTAAGGCACTTTTCACGGGGTGCTTCCTCCCAGTTGCCCACCTGGATTTTTCACTTATCACAGGCCTCCCTGCTGAGCCTGGTCATTTCTCCCTCGGCTGCTTTAATGCTGTTTTAAACTCACGCCCTTTGCCTTCTCCCACTGGCGCCCAAGTGCCCCTGGTCATCCAGAGAAGTAGCTCATTGTTTGGACGGCTTGGGGCCCAGTCCAGTGTGAGCCCGTTTCTGACGATCAGATGACCCGCAAGAAATCGCGGATCAACCCAACCCACTCTGCGCCCAAGCTGGACCTTTTCTGGCCGAGGAGCAGGGCTCCTACTTTCTGGAAACTGGCTCGGGTGACTCCTGTAGAGACGGAAGGATCACTTCCAAGGGAGATTGGTCGCTGCCAAGGGACCCCCTCTCCATCACAATGAAACACAATCCTTTTCAACATCTGATTGCACCCTAAGTTTCCAAAGGCAGGTTTCCTACTGAGCAGACTTGTTTTGTAAAGCCCTCTGGCCCTCGGTTGCCACAATGACCCATAGTCATGCACGCAGACGAAATCAGAACCATTTCAGGATAGGGCCAACCCAGGCTCTGCTAAAAACCCGGGACCTGATTCAAAATGCAGAGGTCAGCAGTGACATGGAGGAAGGGCTTCCTTCTAGCTTTGCATCCAAAGACAGGGCCCCCCATGTCTCCGCCCTCACTCTTTCTTTATACTGTACACGGATGTCTTTTTTAAAAGTTTGGTTCTCCAGATATGATGCCAGTAGTGTTGTGCTGGTAGGAAACTGAAATCAAGCAGTTCTCCCTCTTACACCTCATTGTTAGAGAAGGAAGGAAGGAAGGAAGGAAGGAAGGAAGGAAGGAAGGAAGGAAGGAAGGAAATGGTGATGGATGGATAGAAGAAAGGAAGAGAGGGAGGGAGGGAAGGAAGGAGCTGATGACAGGCAGATGGAAGGAAGGAGCTGATGATGAACAGATGGAAGGAAGGAAAAAGAGGAAAGAAGGAAGGAACGTGATGGATGGATAGGAGGGAAGGAAGGAAGGAGCTGATGATGGACAGATGGAAGGAAGTACTGTAAGGAGCTGATGATGGATAGAAGGAAGAGGGAAGGAGATGATAATGTAAAGAAGGAACGGAGGAGGGAAAGAAGGAAGCAAGGATGTGAGGAAGGAAGGAAAAAGCCAAAGAGGGAAGGAAGGAAGGAACTGATGATGGATAGAAGGAAGGAAGGACATCTCTTAATTAATTTGTGGTGAGTTTGCACCTCCTGGGAAATACCTTTATTAGGCTACCCAAAAACTCCGTGCAAATGCTCAGGAGCTTTCGAGACCCTCCAATTCCTTCACCAGGCAAAATGTTACAAAAATCAAGCAAGGGAAAGGATCCTGGTCTTAGGCCCTCGTGGCCTGTATTGGAGTCTTTTGATTAATGGGTGATGATGAGTGGATGGACAATGGGCTCCCCCAAGTCATGTGATGAGGTGTGACATCACTTGAGACACCCCCCACACCTTTCAAAACCTTTGTTTCTCCACCTTAAATCAAAGAAATCCGTAGAGGCAGTGAATGGATAGTGGCTTATCTTTTTGTTTTGAATCTCTTCCAGGAGGACTACATTCCTTATCCCAGCATTGATGAGGTAGGTGCTAAGAAAACATTCAAAATGGTGAGTTGGAAGCTATTAAAATGCTAGCTAGGAAAGGACTTGGTGGGCTGTTTCCCTGGGAAAAGAGACGGAAAGAGATGAAAGAGGAAAGCATCATAAAATTTGAGTTTAAAAGAAGGTTTCTTAGGGTGGGGATTACCAATTAAAAAACAACAACAACCCACAATACAGTGGTGCGTCGCTTAGCAATCACTCCGTTGAGCGACAAAATCACTTAGCAATGGACTTTTGGCCATTGCAAAAGCGATCACTTAGCAATGGTCCCTATGGGGAAAATTAGCTTTGCAGTGATCGCAGGGAAGCGATCATGGCAAAGCGACCCTTTTTTAACAGCTGATCGGCGGTTTCAAGATGGCCGCTGGAAAAACAAAATGGCCACCCGCTGTTTTGCCTCGGTTAAGAGGCGGTGAAAATGGCGGCGCTATGGAGGATTTTTGCTGAAAGGTAAGTTTTTAAGCCCATAGGAACGCATTAAACGCTTTTTAATGCGTTTCTATGGGCTTTTAAAAATCGCTTAGTGATGAAATCGCTTAGCGACGGTTTTTCCGGAACGGATTAACGTCGCTAAGCGAGGCACCACTGTATTTGAATGGGATGGAGCAGATTTGAATCTATGTTTACATGGTGGACCTACAGCTCAGTGCACTTTTTTTTTAAAATTTGGCCAGGAATTGTGTTTTTCCATTGAAATACAAGGGTCCAATAAACAGTCACAAGCGGCTTGTTTATTTTAACCCAAATGTGAACGCGATTCCTTTTTGAATCATTTCGGCCCCTCTGTCAGAGTAAACTGTATCTGTGGTGTTTGTCAAGCCAGGATCATAGATTTTGGGACGCAGCAAACGTAGCTGTCTGACCTGTTTCATTCTTTCCCATCTGTAGGACTGACATAGCACCATGCCAGTTAGAAATAAATAATTTTTTAAAGGAGCCAGCCTAGAAACTGGCCTTGATCAATGTCTCTCATTCATATCTCTTGCCTTCCTTCTTGGCAGCCCTGGCTGATGGTTCCCTGTGCGTGCGTCTATGTATTCCTTAACCTATGGGATGGCCTCCTTACCATTTCCTTTTTTTTCAGATTCTGGAAAAAGGCAGCCCCTACCCCTTAATCATCTTGCCACAGTTTGGGGGCTACTGGATTGAAGACCCCGAGAACCTGAGTACGCCCACCTCGTCAGACAGCAGCCTCTGTGAAGATGAGGAGGAGCCTATGAGCCCGAATACTTTCGGCTACAAACTGGAGCGCAAAGGTGAAGCGAGGGCATACAGGAAACACTTCTTGGGAAAGGTCAGTGGGAAAGTGTGAGCCTGCTCACTTATGCTCACTTAGGCACACACGTTGGCCAGGAGATTTGGCATCTTTGTTAGGAAGGCTTAGCGCTCGAGCCTGGACGGCAAGAAACACACGGTTCTGCAGTGTTGGCCATTAAAGTACGGAAACGTAGATGTCGCCGTTTTCAAAGCTCCATGGGAGCTGCAATGCATTAAGGGGATGGGAGTCTCTCTGTTTATTAGGTGCTGGAGAAGGTACCTCTGGGGAAAAATGCCATCCCTTAAGGCCTGAAACACTTGGGAGAACTCAGATTTTTTATTTTGATTGGTTGGTTGGTTGGTTGGTTGGTTGGTTACGGAAACGTAGATGTCGCCGTTTTCAAAGCTCCATGGGAGCTGCAATGCATTAAGGGGATGGGAGTCTCTCTGTTTATTAGGTGCTGGAGAAGGTACCTCTGGGGAAAAATGCCATCCCTTAAGGCCTGAAACACTTGGGAGAACTCAGTTTTTTTATGTTTTATTATTATTATTATTATTATTATTGGCTAAAACTACTGAAATTGTAGCTGGGAGAATTCCTGCTGAATCCTGGGAGTGGCAGCTACTGAAATTGTAGCTCAGAGAATTCCTGCTGAATCCTGGGAGTGGCAGTGAAAAGAATCTGAAAATCCCATGTTCAGTGAGGCATGATCCTCCTTGGCCGCAGTCCTGGGAGAAACGGTCCGGATCTCATGAACCGGCCAAGAGCCCACGTGACTCGCAAGGAGACCTCCAGCCTTTATGGATCATGTCTTTAAGAATCTTATTTGGGCTTCTGATTCTCTGCTCAAGGAAACCCCAGGGCTGAATAGGAAGGTGGGGTATCGCTCGGGGTACGACCCCCACTTCTGATTGCAGGGGTCCCAGATTCATTCTGCAGCATCTCTATGAGAGGATGAGGAAAAGACCAGTGTGTAGCCATGGAGAGTCCCTACCAGTCATTCTGGCCAGTACTGGTGTCGGTGGAACCTCAGCCTGATTTAGTTTTAGGTGGCTTGGTGCTTTATAGTTGGGATTTAACTGTTCATTTCTTCCAGAGCTCAATGAAAGGGTTTGATTTTTGTCCTTCAGAGACTTTTCTTGGCCAGGGTAGGGTTTATGCATCAGGCGGCTTGCTTGATGGAGGGTAATTCTCCATTTGGAGGTTGCTGTAGGACACCGCCCGTTTGATTTTCAGAGATAAAAAACTGTATGGTGGGAGATGACCGGACCAGCTGGTCAGGCTCCCCCTGTTTCAGGCACAAGGCATGGTCATTTCACTTTAAATTGGGAAAAAAAGCATTTCTATTTTTGTCGATGTGGATCCGCGTTTCTGAATGTTGTGCCTATCAGAGTCCTGTGTAGCCACCCTTTCTACGATGTAGAAGCAACCCTCCACCATACGTTGTTGTTGTTGTTTCGTCGTCAAGTCGTGTCTGGCTCTTCGTGACCCCATGGACCAGAACACGCCAGGCCCTCCTGTCTTCCACTGCCTCCCCAATTTGGGTCAAATTCATGTTGGTCGCTTCAGTGACATACATACTGGGTCCCAACTGAATCCATATCATTTCTATGAGGTCCTGATAGAAGCCAAAGGGTCCGGTTGATTTCCAGGGAGAACTGAAGCAAATGCCAAAACTCAGTTCAGATCTAGAAACAAATTAGATGAAGTGCAAATGGGCTCTTCAGCCCACAAGGTTTTGTTTTTAAAGCGTGATTTAAGCATGCATCGTGCACAGACCCCGGGACATTTGGGAGGCCTGCTGCCCTGCTTTGGTTCTGCCCTGTATCCCTCTGGGTCAGGGGAAAGATAAAAAGGTGAGAGACCTGTTGCTTCTCAATTGCAAGGACTTGAACACGTTTGGAAATTAACTTAGAACTGGCTATCAGTCCAATCCGGTGGGCCCAGTGGGCTCCTCTGGGCAGATGCATTCCGAAGTCTCATATAGGACTACAAAGCAGATCATGCACAGCCCTAACGACCACCCTTGGTGGGCATTACAAACCTAGGCTGGGTCATGGGGAGGGGTTGGGTGCCGTTCAGCCCCCATGGACTTCGCCAGTAGAGGCAGTGCTCATTTGGCTCATTCTTGGGCACCAAAAAAGCACCTCTTTTTGGCATTTGCTCCTCAACCGATGGCTCTGCGCTCTAGCACGCTGTGCGGCTCGCATGTGGCGTCCAGAGCCCTGCTTTCGGCGTTAATCGCTTGCAACCTCCTGTAACCTGGATCAAATATCAAAATGTCTAAGCAGAAGGAAAAATAATGCTTCTGAAAGGATGGGGTGCCTCGGTGAGAGTATTCTAAAGAGAGACATAAATCAGGCTGCTGGATCGCTCAGGGGCTGTGGAACCAGAGGTTGGGGGTTCAGTTCCCCACTGGGCCTCTTTGACGGGGGCTGGAGATAATCTATGGGGTCCCTTCCAGCTCTGGAGTTCTAAGATGACGGTGATTCTTAATGAACACTAGATAACTCTGTGGTTGTTCGATTCCCCCCCCAAGTGCCTCCTTGGCGGGGGTTGGACTGGATGATCCCACGGGGTCCCTTCCAACTCTGGTCACTCCACCTTGGTCTGATCATCCATGATTCTTTCCAAGTGTTGAAGACGGGCCTGAAGCTGCAAGGGATCTACGTTCTTGCAGCCCCCAGGGGTGTTCTCCCCCTGGCGCCACTAATGCCTCTCTTTTCTCTTTTTTAGGACCATTTGAACTTTTACTGCACAGCCAGCAGCCTGGGGAATCTGATCCTGTCCATTAAATGTGAAGAGGCCGATGGAATTGAATACCTGAGGATTATACTCAGGTAGGGTAAGCTGGTGAGGGGGAGCGGATGGCAACTGTCCTCCCAAGAAAACCATTGGTTCAGCTGCAGTGGAAATTAGATTTTCTACCTTCTGGACTGCAGTAGCTAGAGTGGCCGGCTACAATTCTGGAGAGCAGGGTTCGAATCCCCACTCGGCCATGGAGACCGACTGGGGCTAGAGTGGCCGGCTACGATTCTGGAGAGCAGGGTTCAAATCCCCACTCGGCCATGGAGACCGACTGGGGGACTGGAACTGGTAGAAGCACTCCTTAAACGTCTCACTTACCTTGAAAAGCCCCATTAGAGTCGCTGTTATTTATTGGTTTAGAATATTTTTGCCCCACCTTTCTCCTTAAAAAGGACCCCCCAAGGCAGTTCACATCCTTGAATGAGAATATTTCAAGCAGAAAGCAATTATACAACGGGGGTTGACATAATTAAAAGACGAGATTTAAGGCTAAGAACAGTGAATATAAAGGGGCAGCTTTCATCATGACACAACAAGATTAAAGCTAGCCCATAACAGCAACAATTAATCAGCAAACGGATAGTTTGTTGGGGACAGGGGCCATTTTTAATTGCCTCAGCCCATCTGTGTGAAAGTGTATTTCAATTTCGGGGGGGGGAAGAGAAGTGATCATTGTGGAGAGAACAACGTATGAGAAGGCCCACACTATGGTCTAAATCAGTGGCTAGTTACACAACCAGCGCTGCATAAATCCCATCTGTTCAGTGGGGCTCCTTAAATTGGGTCTGGTCATGGAATATACCGGTAGGTGGCCCTGTTTGATTTTGGCCAGAGGACTGGAAAAGATCAGTCTACATCCCAATCCCAAAGAAGGGCAGTGCCAAAGAATGTTCCAACTACCGTACAATTGCACTCATTTTCCACGCTAGCAAGGTTATGCTCAAAATCCTCCATGGTAGGCTTCAACAGTATGTGGACCGAGAACTCCCAGAAGTTCAAGCTGGATTCCGAAGGGGCAGAGGAACTAGGGACCAAATTGCTAATATGCGCTGGATTATGGAGAAAGCCAAAGAGTTCCAGAAAAATCTACTTCTGCTTCATTGACTATGCAAAAGCCTTTGATTGTGTGGACCACAACAAACTATGGCAAGTCCTTAAAGAAATGGGAGTGCCTGAACACCTTATCAATCTCCTGAGAAATCTATACGTGGAACAGGAAGGAACAGTTAGAACTGGATATGGAACAACTGATTGGTTCCATATGCAGATGATACCACTCTGATGGCAGAAAGTGAGGAGGAACTAAAAAACCTTGTAATGAGGGTGAAAGAGGAGAGTGCAAAAAACGGTCTGAAACTCAACATTAAAAAAACTAAGATCATGGCCACTGGTCCCATCACCTCCTGGGAAATAGAAGG